AGGTTTGTAAAGCTCAATGGAGAAACCCGGATGATCATGGATATGTATTTGTAAATACTAGAAAACCTGCGGGTGAAAGAGTTATGATCGATATATGTTAATTTTATTTTTTAAAAATGGATAATTGGAATAATATTTTAAAAAGAAATAAAGAATATATCAAAGCTAAGAATAAAATAAAGACCCAAGTTGAAAATAACAGATTACAGCAACTCGGATTAACGGAATATCTACAAACTCTATTTCAACCCATATTAAAATCTCAAGAGAATATTTAAAAGAGACTCATCCCTCCTAAAGAACCCACAGCTCTTATAGAACCTCCCAAAGCGATTGAATATAATGGTATTATAATTAGGACATTAGATGATATAAATCGTCTTTTTTCAAACCTTAAAGCAGATTTACCAAAGAGTATTACACCAATCATTGATGTTGAGGGGTTATTGTTTAATGGATTTAGAATTAAATTTAGGGCAAATTCCCCTATATTCAAAATCGACACAAAAAACTTAATATTTACATTAACGACAGGATTAATAGATTTAATGAATGGCGGGTATATTGGCACTGCCGATTACAAGGATTTACTTACATACTCAAAATTTCTACATGCAATAAGAAAGTCGGGACCCGAAACAAGAAGATCGAAAGCAGTTGAAACATATTTAAATAAAGTTATTCCTGATGAAGAGGAATCAGATGATTATGCAGAAGATTATCCAATCATACAAGAAATAGACGAATTCTAAGATATGGTATCTGGAGAAGGTATAACGTTTTTATCCGCCACAGGAACTATTTAATAGATTACGAGTAATATTAGCGGCAATGAAGGAAGGATATCGATCACACAGACAATATAATGAAGTTAATTGTATATTAAAAAGACTCCTAGAAAAAGGTATCATAGATAAAAATGAGTATAAAAGCGTGATTAAAAATGTCAAATAAAGAACAACTATTCGTTATCACCTCGAATAAATCATATATTAAATTGTCTCTAGATTATGAGTACGAACTCGATCGCAATCAAGAATATGAATTGGGATTAAAGTATTTCTCTGTTTACAATTCCATTAGAAATATCAACGAAAACAACAACCAACTAAAAATATTGACGGATAATGGAGTTACGTTCAAAACCATACGTTTACTACCAGGAAGCTATGAATACATAGCCATTAACGAATACCTATCTGAGTAGGTAAAAACAATATTGAATTCGAAGGTAATTTGAATCTGAACAAAATGAAATTGATATTAAGAAATAATAGTCAAGTTGATTTCAACGTAGAAAATTCATTGAATACGTTACTAGGATTTGATAAACGAGTATACACCCAATCCACTTTAGCACCACACAAAGCTAATATCGATAATGATATCGATGTCATAAATATACATTGCAATTTGATAAACGGTGGATTTTTAATAAATACAAACGTCAGATTATTTACAGTCTTCCAACATTCACTGTTCCTATTGGATATAGAATTATAGAGAAACCATTTCAAACAACTTATTTACCACTTAATTCGTTCATGATTAAAAATATAAATCTGGAAATCAAAGATGGTAAAAATAGGTTTATAGATTTTGGTAACGAGGAAATTGTTATTTAACTTCATTTAAAACAAAAGAACTAAATTTATTCTGATGGATCATCATTAGATACATTTGTAAAGTTATCAAAATCATCAAATACATAATCATCATCCAAACACATCTCATCTTTGTTGTTGTAAGGATACATAATTCCTTCACTGTTCGGCGCTTTTCTCTTAACGAGATTCAGATAACTTCTGAAAACTTTCTTTTGTTTTTCATTAGGAATAACTATTCCATCAATAAAACTTTTTACCCAAAGTTTCTTAAATTCATTCGTTACGTCATGTCCACTAGCTAATTGAATGTAGTCTTCTACCTTAATCTTATAGATAGAGTAACCCTTAAACGTTTTTATTTCTTTTAAAACACCTTCGGAAGTTAGAATGATATTGTATTTTAGTTTTGGCGCTAAATATAAACCAAATATGATTCCACCATCACCGTAATCATTCTTCCCTTTGCTATATTCGTTTTCAGACACCAACCCAGCTTCATTTAATTTATTCCAATTGCTAGACGAAATGTATAAACTATCGGTATCTGTATAGTATATTTCAGGCTTATAAAATCCATTTTTCAC